TGATTAACATTTAATCTTTGGGGTTAAATAAAATGATTAGATTTTATCCAGTTCATGAAAGGCATAAAGAGAAAAAGCTAGCTAGCATCCCCTGAAGAAGCCCTGAGTTATGTCTGAGCTACAAGTCGTTGAACTGGATACTACAATATTAACTCTTTGCTATTTTTAAGCCTGCTAGCCTGCTCTGAATTTCGGAACTACCAGCAACCCCAGTTGGCCCTATTTCTTGGTGGCATATCTGTACAATGGAATATTACTTATCTTATAAAGGCATGATGGGCTGATATATGCTACAATGTGGATGAATATTGAGCATACCATGCTAAGTAAAAGAAGCCATAAAAGGTCACACATTTCAAAGCACATGCCCATGCTTTGCTTTGCTTTAATTTGGCTATTATTTGAGTGTCCTTCAAGTTTTCATGTATTAAAATGAATCCCCATCGTGAGGTATGAAAAGCCTAGATACCCAACTAGTTATGGTGTTTATTCTAGAGCTTCTGGGAGTGAGTGATTAGGATTAGATACAATTATTAAAGTGGGGGTTACAAGATGGGTTCCTGGTTGCTTTATAGGAACGAGGGAAGTCACAAAAACTCAGGAGCACTCACTGTCTCTTGCAATGTCATCACCTGTGCCACCTTGGCAAGGGAAGCTATTATCAGATACGACCCATCTCTTTTCAGTTATAATCAATAGCCAAAATCAGTGCATTTCCTTCACAATTCACCGAATCTGTGGTGTAGTACTATTGGCAAAAGGAATGGATGAATACAGTCCACAGTAAGCAAATATATTGAGAAGGAAAGTAGACTAGTTGTTTTGGCTAAGAGAAGGTGAATATAGAGTGTTTAATGGCTATGGGCTTCTTTTGGAGAGTGATGAAATTTTCTAGAACTAGATTATTGCAATGGATAAATGGCTTTGTATTAAGACCTCTAAACCATGCACTTTATATGCTGTATTATATGACATAATGAATTATATTTTAGAATTATCATTTTAAAAATAAGTAATATCCATTGCATATTTTCTCCTCATTTATCTCCACCAGGCAATGTAAATAGAGCTTGCCAGCTGCCTGGCAACATCATCCGTATTTCTATGCTACATTTTGTGAAAGCACATCTCTCTCTTCAAAGCTAATTTAGACGTTCACTTTAACCAGATTTTTTCCATATTAAGTAGATTTTTTTAAAAAAAAGCAAAGTGCCAGGGGTGAGGTTGTATAGTGAGCACACTTGTGTTTTGATTTCAGACTCAGATCCTATCTATGGGTGACACTAATGAGGGAGTAGGCTACAAACTGAAAAGCCAGAGTCTTTGTTCTTAAAGGGTGCATAGAAAAAAAGAGACAGAAACAAGAAACAAGGATACATGATTGCTTTTTGCCTTAATCTCTTTAAGGATCCTGCAGCGCAAACTGAGCATTCTATAGAAGGAAGCCATTCTTCCATTATACCTATTGATTTTCTCTACCCATCACCTCCCAGAGACTAATATTCTGAGCGCTCTCTCTATCAGCCACCTGCTGGTTGGTTACTCTCCTTTCTCAATTCTGTCCCTGTGGATACCATCTATTGCCCTTATAATGCAGCTCCTGGAAGGCCTGTGAACAGTCTTCTTCCAGCTGCAGTGGCTTGTAATGTTCAACACCATTTCCAAGCATCACATGGTTTGAGGGGTTCTCAATATTGTAAAAATGCCAAAGACCTTTTAGACACGGTTTTTAGACTCAGTCTTTTTTTTCCGTGCTGAGTTAGATGTGGGTAAGGAGTCACGTCTTCAGCCTGCCATTTTTGCGCAATTCTGGTGCTTTACAGAAGGGGAAATAGTCCTGGAACACTACCTGGAATTCAGCGACCACTTACAGGTGTCACTTAACTAGTTCTTTTTTTAAATCCATCTATTTTACATACTGGCCACAGCCTCCTTGCCACATCCTCCCCTCCCTGCCCCTCTCCCTCATTACCCCATTTCCACCCCAACCCCCTCCTTTTCTTTCTTCATCCAGGAAAGGGTAGATTAATGAATATCAACAAATGTGGCATATCAAGTTTCAGTAAGACTAAGCACCTCCCCATGTATTAAGGCTGGGCAAGGTGACCCAGTGTGAGGAGTAGGGCCTCAAAAGCTAGTAAAAGAGTTGGAGACAGACTTGTTACTGCTGTTAGGAGTCCCATAACAGGACCAAGGTACACCACTGCCACATATATGCCGAGCACCTAGGTCAGTCCCATGTAGGCTCTCTGGTTGTTGATTCAGTCTCTGAGAGCCCCTGTGAGCCAAGGTTAGTTGATTGTGTGAGCCTTCCCATGGTGGCCTTGACCCCTCTGGCACCTACATGCTTTTCTCCTCCTTCTCTGCAGGATTCCCAAACTCTGCCTAATGTTTGACTGTTGAGTCTTTGCATCTGTGTCCATCAGTTGCTGAATGACCCCTCTCTGTCAACAATTGGACCAGGAACCAATTTGGTCACAGGAGACAGATAGTAACTAGCTCTTTTACTTAAGTAGCTCATGAAAAATCTGTAGTGTCACGTCTGCTGTGCGGCCTGTGTCCGAGAATGTGCGGAGGGTGTCGGGGATTGACAACACAGAGACTCGTTCAAGGATATAAAGAAAACTTTAAGCAGGCCCCAAAAAGGTTCAAGAAAACTTCCTAAGAAAGGCTCCCACCAGAGAAGCTTCTGCTCTCTCCTCTCCCCTGGCTGGTTCTGCTCTGACCCCAGAGGTGGATGTGGATGGGTCTGAAGGTGCGGTTAGTCTTTGGACAAGGTCGAGGTCAGGGCGGTTTCCGTGGGCAGGCCTTTTCCAGAAACTTATTGCCCTGGGCATTGTATTGTTTTTAGTAAACATGTTTTTAGTAAAACATTGTCTTACAGCTGCCTACTCCCAGGCAGAAGGGGAAGTGGGTCTCTGCTCAAGGTCTGGTGTCCCCACACTGTAGAGATCCATCCTTTTAGTGGGGAAGAGGTTTGGCGCCTTGAGAGTCTCATGACTGTCAACATTTTCACTGTCCCTTATCCTATGAAGACTAGAGTTGATCATAGAAATCGACTTATTGTGATAGCTAATCTTGTCAAGTTAATAGGATCTACAGTCACCCAGAAGACAAGTCTCAGGGTGTGCCTGTGAGGGATTATAAAGATAAAGTTAATGAGGTGGAAAGACTCGCCTACCGTGGGTGATGATAGTATTTTATGGATTGGGGTCCTGGCCTGAATAAAAAGGAGAAAGTGAGATGAGCATGCACATTCATCACTCTGCTTCCTGACTGTAGCTGTTATGTGGCCAGCTGCTTCCTACTTTATTTCCATGATGGACTGTATCCCTGCAACTGTGAGCCAAAGTAGGTCCCTCTTCCCTTAAGTTGCTTTTGTTGGATGTTTTATCACAGCAATGGTGAAATCAACTAATACACTGATGGACCTAAGAATGTTAGAAACAGAGACATCCTCAGTTAGTTTCTTCCAGTAGGGCAAAGGAACAGGGAGATAAGGTGCCAAAGGATTGAGTGACTGACAGCGCCAGAGAGTCTTAAGACTGAAAATAGAGAAGCTGGCTGCTGAGAGGAATCAGATGGCAGGAAACTTACAGGTTTATACCAGCCCCGGGGGAATCCAATGAAAGTAGAACAGGAGTCCTACCCTTAGGGTCCTATAATAATTTCGTTGGAACATAAAAATGAATATACTTGAAATAATTCATATTTGAGACTAAAATGTGGTGCTGACAAAAAAAAACCTGCCTGAGAAGGGACAGATCCAGGGACTGACCTCCTCTGTGAGCTGAGTGGGTGATTAAGAGTGCATATTCAGACAAGGGACTTTGTGCTCTAGATATAATGGCTACAGCACTTGGAGTAGAGTCTGATTGGGTCCTGACTTCATGGAGGAAGGAATCGGGTGGGGTCTTCATCATCACCATTTGTTGATCATCACTGTCATTGAGAGCCACACTCAACACTCATTAGGCATCCTCCTTATATTCAGACTTCTGTTGGGAAGAGAGAACATAAAACAGAGAGTATCTGTACAAATAGCACAAGGAAAGGAAAATGAGCGTGGGGGGGTTAGAAATGGCTTGGCAGGGTTAGAGGTGACTCCTGAAAGAAGATAAGAGCTTGGACTAATGAAGAAAGGGATGCGGTGAGCTGTAAATGGCCTCAACAAGGCGCACAAGTGGGGGAGCAGGATGAACACGGCTAAGTGAGCAAACCTGTTGGACTGGTGTAAAAGGTGTGCAGTATGGTAGCGTGGGTGACTAAAATTATAGAGAAGCAGTAGTGATTACAGATAGCCTTGGATGTCAGACAGAACAGCCCGTCATTTGGGAACAAAATGGGAAGGCTGTAGAGCTGTGTACTGGGGGAGTGGCGAAGGCATGGGGCATAAGGCAGAAGCTGAAAGAACACTGCAGTTTTATCGTACAATCTTTGTGCTTTTGCTTTTCTGTGTTTGGATGACTGATTCACCCTGTCCTTGTGAAGTGGATAAGTTGGTCATCCTGCTTGAAATCTTCCTTATAAGCTGTTTGTTAAAGCAGTTGACACACCAGCACTTGGAAGGCAGAGGCAGGTGGATGTGTTTGAGTCTGGGTCCAGCCTGGTCTACATAGTGAGCCAGCCAGGGCTACATAGTGAGATCTTATCTCGAAAACAAATACATAAACAAAATAGCAAAGTCTTCAAACCAATAAAAATAAACGAAAGGAAAGCAGCCCAAAGAGATTATGCCCTGTGTCCCACTGGTGAAGCAACCATCTTCTAAGCGGCCAATAGTTTTTAAGAAGTTGTTCTCGATAGTATCACCACGAAAGAGGAAGTATGAACCTCCCAGGCCAGCTGCTACACTGGGGCAGCAGTGCTTCAGAAGACAATCTTTCCAAGTGCAGTCTGCCCCCCAGTCGGTTCTTGGAAAAGGAGGTGACAATTGAGGGCGCTTAAAATACCCCCCACACACACACACCATAAATGACAAAGACTAAATCTATCTTGAGGTCATCATCCTTTTGGTGACTGCTGCTCTGGCCACTCCTCCCATAGATTCTCCTTTTGCTAACTTCCTGTCTTAGGAGATTGGCACAGGGTCTGCTACTTTATATCGCTCAGAGGCAGCTGTTTTCCTTTCTTCTTTGGGGTTTAGGATTATGCAAACGAAGCATGAAGACAAAAGCTCAGTGAGGTGGGGGAGGATTGCCTTTAAAAGTCCAGGCAATTTTAAGAGCTCTTTGAGATCTCTCTCTCTCTCTCTGATTTTACTAACATCTCTCTTGGCTCTTTGCCAGTCTGTTGAGACTCCCGCCCCTCATCAGAGCCTTTTAACCAAAGACCTGAAAGTTTATTTTGAAGCCTCTGTCCTGGCCTCATTTTGCAAGAGCAGAAATCCACGCATATATGTGCTTTCAGTGTCTGTGGGCTGGCTTTGAGTTTTGATGTCTATCTGATTCAAACTTCCTTTTTCTGTCTTACCTGGACAGAAAACTCTGACCCAGTTCCCTCTCAGGTTCCCACTTTTCTGATATTATCTGGAGGGCAATAGGACCTGGGGAGGTTCAACCCTGCGGCCAAGGGAGACACACCTGCCTAACCGCGTGGGTTGAGCGAGTGTGGGAGCGAGCCACTTTAGCTAGCTGTGGAGGGAGGGGTAGAAGTGGGTGCCTGCTGCTGCTCCCGGAGAAGAGGAAAGCTGTGGCTCCCTCCTGGATCCCGAGGTCATGGTGAGAAATGTTGCCGAAGAATGGCTCAGGCTCCTTCTTGTTTGTGCCTAGCTACCTGGAGCATCCCTTGGAACTCTGGCTCATTTTGCTTTGCCCCAGCTGTGTCTCCCACTCGCCCAGCCCACGCCACCACCACCCCGCCCAAGTCATCCAGGTGCCATAGGTCCCAAAGCCCAGGAGCCGCCGCACTTCTCAAACTGTGACTTTTGTAGCAAAGTGTCTCCGTGAAGAAATCCCTCCGGCCTCTCGTGTTCGGTACTGCGTGCTCCGCTTTTTTTTTCTGAGGAGACCTCCCTTGGGGACAGCGGTGGCGTTACTCCAGCTCCCAGCCAGGCAGTCTTGGGGGCGGGGCTTGGAGAACCTTCCTGAGAACCCTTGCCTCGCTGCAGGTCCTGAGAGCTCGCTGGCTCACAAGCGCCAGCAGGCAAACTAACAGGCACAACTTAACATCAGGTTGGATGGATACCTAGGTGCTGAACTGAGTCCTCCAGGCTGCGACCCTTCTGCCTTGGTTCAGGTCTCTGCTGACTTGAGAATTCACATGGATGAGAATTCCTCGGGAGAAGCTGCTGCCTGTGTGATGTGCCACCCCTGTCTGGAGGACTGTGACAGGGACCTCAGTGGAAATAGCTGTTCCTTGACTTTTCCCACGCCTGGAATTGGACACCAGACACAGTGTGGGGTGCTTGTCTAAGTTTCTCAGCACCTATGTGGATGATTGCATTCCAGGGCCAATCAAGAGTGAAGTTCAAAGAGATACTTCTGCACTCTGTTCCAGACTCTCAAGTCTAGACGAGAGGTGTCCCTGTTGTGACTCGTTGGTCTTCATTCAGGAACTCGACTTGACACTGTCCACCTGACTGAACCTTGGACAGCAGTGGCTACGGGGGCTCTGTTGGGGATGGATGGGGAAGAGTTCTGAACTCCAGACAATAAGAGATTCTCCACAATGGATAGAGTTTATGAAATTCCTGAGGAGCCAAATGTGGTTCCAGTTTCATCTCTGGGAGAAGATGTCATCCGTGGGCCTAACCCACGCTTTACCTTTCCATTTAGTATCCTCTTCTCCACCTTTTTGTACTGTGGGGAGGCTGCATCTGCCTTGTATATGGTTAGGATTTATCGAAAGAATAATGAAACCTTCTGGATGACATACACCTTTTCCTTCTTTATGTTTTCATCCATTATGGTTCAGTTGACTCTCATTTTTGTTCACAGAGACCTGGCCAAAGATAGACCACTATCATTATTTATGCATCTAATTCTCTTGGGACCTGTTATCAGGTGAGCATTTTAAAATCTCTTCCCAACCAACCCCTTCAAACGTGTACAGAGGAGGATGAAGCTAATATTTATATGACTGATACTGTGTTTGTAATCTAATTCTTCCATTCCTTCTCACTCAATTTCCCTGTCTACTGTCCCAAAACCTTATCTGAAATCTTGGGTGCCTCCATGGTGACTTGTGACATGTATATGTGTTCACAAACTGTGAGCAGTATCACCAATATGACTTGATTAGACAATTCTACTGAATTTGTGTTGTGAAAACTGGTATGGGACCAACAAATATGGCCACCTTGTGCTCAGGCTTTAGCTACAGAGTGATTGTTCACTTTACTTGGAATGAAGCCCAGGGTGTTGAACCTACTAAGTAAGTGCTGTTTTGTTGAGCTATACTCCTTGCCTCCAGAGTCTATAATTTTTTTTTTGGTTTTACTAGACAGGGTTTCTCTGTTTTGGAGGCTGTCGGTCCAGCCTGGCCTCGAACTCACAGAGATCCGCCTGCCTCTGCCTCCCGAGTGCTGGGATTAAAGGCGTGCGCCACCAACGCCCGGCCAGAGTCTATAATTTGAATTCTGCCTTGTAGATGCTTTATGAATGGATAATCATTCATTCCTGCTTCCATTCTCTCCCACATTCAACTTTTTGCAACTTGAACTTCTTGGACTGGCTTTTTGCCATTTTCAAACCTTCTGGAGTTATTTGACATCTGAAAAGTACTTTGTGTAATAGGTGGTAGCAAGCTGGTACTACACCCAATGAAGTTCACTTTTCTCTTTTGGTAGATCCGTCCCTTGCTTATCTCACATTATGATGCTGCAATAATGTACACAGATTGGAAGCACCAAAGGAAGGTAGTCCACCTGTGTTTGGAATTAGTAGCAAAAAACAGTAGTATGAGAGATTCCCATTCAGATTGCTGTAAGTAGGGTGAGAATGTGCTTAATTGCAGGGAGATAGGCACCTGTGCCCGCAGACTCATCTGGATGCTATGGGGTTTCAAGGTAGAGAAACATTGTGTAACTCATGAAGTCAGTAGGGAGGAATGGACCAAGTTTGTCATGACTGTAAGAGAGGCAAACATCTGCAGTCAGTTGAGGAATATGGGTCACAGTGTTGATGTTGTAATCACAATAGGAAGATAGTGCATCATTAGAGATCTAAAAACAGTCTGTGCAACTTATTAAGAATGGACCCTCCCTAAATAAAATTATATATATATATATATATATATAATTCTATTGGTCAATTATATTTCCTTAAATCTGAAAAATATTAATCAATACTTATTTAAACAAGGAGGAACTGGTTAGGCTCCATCAAAGAAAATGTGGGATATCTTCACCAAGTGGTGGCCTGAATTAGGAGCTGAAGAGTCAAGTCCTCCCTCTGTTATTGAATGGCCTCAGTGGCATCTCTTAAAGATGTCTTGGGCTTCAGTTCCTCATCCGTAAAATAAATGGGTTGAATTAGACCTTGTGTTTCAAATCCAAGTTCTCACAGGCACTAGACTTATATGATAATTGAACCAAGTAGGCCAAGTATTAGAAAATAGTCACATGTGTTGATAAATGGAAACAAAGTCTCAGCATTAAAGAAATGGAATGTCATGGCAAATTGGAACCTGGGACATACCTGTCTAGGAGGCAGCCACTTAAAAATTCTAACCCATTGTTTTTAGGTTAGAATTCATACTCATTATCGCCAGATCTAGCTTTTGAGGAGAAGTTAGTTCCCAAGATGGGGTTTTATGTGAAATTTCATGCTTCTAAATTTGGCAACTTAATAACTGTAAAAAATATAGTACAGTCATACTAAATACATACTATCTAGACGTGACTTCGCTAGCCCTATGTAACTTTCTGGTTGGGTGATCTAAAGGTACTTTCCTAATTCTAAATTTTTCAAGTTGGCTGTAAAAGGAAGACTATCTTTAACTTGGAACCATGAAATTTCAAGATATCACTAGACACTCAAAACAACCATTTTTTGTTCCTTTTCAAAATGCAATACACTGAATTAGCAGTTGAAGAGGATGCAATTTTTAGCAAGCACCCAGCCCTCAGTTTTTACTTCCTTTTTTTGTTGTTTGTTTGTGACCTTGTAAGCTGTTTTTGACTCTGTTATACATGGATTGCTGTTCACTATTTTTCAGATTTGTCTTTTAACTTGTAGTGCACATGGATTGAGATGCTTTTATAACCTCAGCAGGAAGAATTACTGTTTTATTAATTTAAAATTTTTATAGAATTTTTCAGAATTTCCTATATTCATACTGTATTCATATCATTTCTACCTCTTTCCCCTTTAATTTCTGTGTCCCCCACCCCCTTTCTAATTTATGACTCTTCTTAATTATTATTGATATATATTAATTATATTTATAGTTTTAGATTTGTAAATATTAATTTCATATAAATATTTGTATTTACATTCATAAATATATAAGTATTTATTTATTTTATATAGGTATAAATATAAAGTATTTACATAAATATATTTATGTCATATATATTTAACTTATTGAGTCCATTTAGTGTTGTTCATATGTGTATGAATTTAAAGCTGACCACTTGGGGTTGACCACAAATTATCATGGAGTCTGTTCCTGTTCAAGACTGATTCTCTTTCCCTCAGCAGTCATTTATTGCTTGTAATTCTTCTGGAAAATAATTTTAAGTCCAGAAACGATACTATTTATATGGTTATTTTCAAGACCCATTCCTTTTCTCATTAGGTAAGAGTTTGTTTACTGCTGTTAGGCAAATGAAGCTGTTTTTAGGGCACGGCCCTCTTACATGAAATGCAAACATGGAAATGAAAATGTACTTTGGTTTACTGTAGCTCAGGAGCAAAACAAGAACCCTTGCTTGAACTAGAAAAATAGCCACAAGAATAGAAACATGAACTTCATGCCACTTCCCCAATATTTTGTTAAGCAATAGTATGGATGGGCTTGAAAATGAGCTTAGACATTTCTCCCTAAATAGTGAAAGAGAGTTGCAATTTCTTCTTTCTTTCCTTCCTTTCTCAACCAGGTCCTACCGTTTGTCTATAGAAAATGAAAATTGTAGGGCTGGGAAAATGGCTCAGTGGATAAAGCACTTACTAAGGTGCAAGCATAAGGGTATGAATATAGGTCCCCAGAACCCATCTACAGCTGGATCCATATTTCCAGTACTCCCACAATGAGATGGGAAGCAAAGACAAAAAAATCCCCCAGAAGCTAGCCTGGTGCACACAAAGAGAATTACCTCAAACAAGGCAGATGGCAAGCACCAACACACAAGGTTGTCCTTGTCCTTTGATCTCTACATACACAAACTATGGTACATGTGTGCCTCTACATATCCCCCCCACACACACACACAGAGGGGAGGGGAGGGGAGGGGAGAGACACGCACATGCGTACACTCTCGTGTGCATTCATATGTGCTCAAATGTGAAAATTTCTCCTGTACATATTGGAGTAGTACACATGAAAAAAATTCCAAGGGACCCTGTGGCCAATACTTATAGTCTAAACCTTCCTCTTAACAGCCAAAGCCTAGAAAGCATGTCAATCCTGAACTTGTCTTTAATCTGTTTTCCTGTTAAATCATTCTGTTATCCTCAACTTCTGCCATTTCTCACCCCCTTCTTTTTTTCATTCTTGTTCTTTCATTTGCTCAGCAATTGTTTATCAAATTCCCTCTATGTGGTAAGAACTGGAAAAACGATAGAGCCTCTACCCTCAGTCTATTGGAGAAGATGTCTTAATTTCCACTACAAACATTCTTGTCAAAAATAGTCAAGTTTCCATTCTTTTCGGGGTAAGTGGGGGAGAAGCGATAACTTAGGTGTAACAGACATTGTGTACTAGTTTCATTTTTTCTTCTGTTTACTGTGTCAGAACTGCCAGAGCTTTTGATTTTGATGGGGGAGGTGTGGGAGGGTCACAGCAGGAAATAGACTGTCACCAACACTTCAAGGGTAATATGCTCTGGTAAGGTTATGTTCTTCATAAGAAAGAATCAGGCTTAAAAGGGATCTGTCCCTAGCAAGAGGTACACACACAAAAAAAGAGATGTTTTCTTGTAAAAGCAGAACTTAAGAATATCAGATATGAAGCTGAATGCATGTCTTAAAGAATGTTTGACTTTAGGAATTTAAGGTTTGTGAAAACCAAAGCCTTTTGGAGCCTTCATCTTTATCTCAGAACACAGTATTTCTTAATACTTTTGTATTTGAGACACTTAAAACAAAACCACAGGCATATTTTTGCAAAGATAAAACAATTCCTTGACTACAAAGAAGTTTTTCTGAAATGGTGTTCTTAGGCCAGCAGGTGACAAAAGAGAAAAAAAGACTTAGACCTACCTTTTCTTATACAAGGTATGGCCAACTTTTTCATTCATGTGCAATGGACAGAAGAAAGGAAATGCCAACAAAGTAATACGACCTCCCCCAGATTTTTCCCTTTATGACACCTTCCTTTCTTGGGATAATTTTTAGCTAAGTTCCCATGATGCTTTACTCCCGCAGATGTTTGGAGGCCATGATTAAATACCTTACACTGTGGAAGAAAGAGGGGCAAGAGGAGCCCTATGTCAGCCTCACCCGAAAGAAGATGCTAATAGATGGCCAGGAGGTGCTGATAGAATGGGAGGTGGGCCACTCCATCCGGACCCTGGCTATGCACCGTAATGCCTACAAACGTATGTCACAGATTCAAGCCTTCCTGGGCTCAGTGCCCCAGCTGACCTATCAGCTTTATGTGACTCTGATCTCTGCAGAGGTCCCCCTGGGTAGAGGTGAGTGGGGTCAAGAAAAGGGAGGGCTCTGTTTAACCCAAGAATATTAGAAGTTTAGGCCTGAACTGTCCAACACACTGGTTACTAGCCTTGTGTACAATTTAAAGAAAAAAAAAACAACAACAATTAAAAGTGCACTTCCGGGGGCTGGAGAAATAGCTCAGTGGTTAAGAGCACTGGCTGCTCTTCTGGAGGTCCTGAATTCAATTACCAACAACCACATGGTGGCTCACAACCATCTGTAGTGAGATCCGGTACCCTCTTCTGGCATGCAGGCATACATGTAGGCAGAACACTAACACACACACACACACACACACACACACACACACACACACATATCACTTCCTTAGTAGGGATGGCCACATTGCAAATGCCCAGTAGCTGTGTCTGATTAATCACTTAGTGTTCTGGAATGGCATAGGTTTAGAATGTATTCATCATCATAGAAAGTTCTATTGGACAGCATTACAACTTAGGGAGTCAGAAATCTCAGACCTGCCAGAAATCTTTTTTTGTTTGTTTGTTTCGAGACAGGGTTTCTCTATGGCTTTGGAGGGTGTTCTGGAACTAGCTCTTGTATACCAGGCTGGTCTCTAACTCACAGAGATCCGCCTGCCTCTGCCTCCCAAGTGCTGGGATTACAGGCATGTACCACCACCACCTGACCTTGCCAGAATTCTTAAACTGAGATGAGCTATGTTTATACTAAAAATTTCACACCCATTGGCCACAGCAGCCATCAGAATAAAAGGAAAATTTCCCTTGTTTGGAATATGTACACTGTGTTGCTAGTTGCTTAATTTGTTTAGAGATGGCCACCTTTGGAGAAAATATTCTCAAATATTTTTATATATCACAATCATATTGGAAGGTTCTTTTCTTTTCTTTTTTTGATTTTGGTGATGTGGACTCACTTTATATTCAAGGCTGTCCTGAAATCACCATATAGCCCAGGTTGATCTCTAACTCATGGCAATCCTCCTGCAGAGCTTCCCAAGTGCTAGAACTATAGTACAGACAAGAGCCAGCCTACCTGACTTGGAAGGTTCTTTTTAAAATTACCTCCCCTCCTCACACCTGAATCAATCACAGAGTGTGAGAAGGCCAGGGATCTGCGTTTGTAAAAAGTACCCTAGTTGACCCCATAAAGTTTCACTAAAGAACCACAAATTTAATCATTTTCTCCCATGGTAGTGGAGAGACAGAAAAGGGGTGTGGGATGGATACAGGTCAGTCACACCTGGTCTAAGATCTGACCTTCCGTCCCTATGACCTCTGAAGGAAGTTACAAAGCAGTCACTGCCATAAGTTCCTGCTTGTAAAAGGAGGGGTCCCTAGGTGAGTAAGACCTCTGGCAGAGGATGAACTATGAGTCAGTGTCATCAATGTCGAGATCAAATGTTGTTAATGAATTTTAGCAGCCCAGGTTTGCATCATCTGATTGGGCAGATGCTGCTTCAGATGTGGGTACGGCTTGGGCCACTTCTTTATTAGTAAGTACTGACCCTGTTGGACAAAGTCCTCTGTCTTAAGTCTATCCGCGTTTGTCCATTAACAATTGTTTATGAAGTTCTGTTGGTTTGGAAGCTTTTTACAAGTGTACACAGGACAGTAGTTTGAAGAGAACATGGTCTGGAAACAATGCTGCTTTTCTTCCTTAGAATTTTGGGAGTTGGGCAATCATCTAATTAAAATATGTATACATTAAAAAAGCGACAAGTGTGCAAATCGTCTGACCTACAGGTAACTGTATCTACATAGAAATTTTCTGGAAAGTTATGAAAAAATTACCCCAAAAGGAACTGAGAAATAAGCAGAGTATAACTTTTAAAATTTTCTGTAAGAAAATTTACCATCTTAATATAGTGCTAATTTTTGTTTTTTATTATTCATTTTTCAGTTTTGATTTTTCGAGACAGGATTTCTCTGTGTAGTGCTGGCTCTCCTGGAACTCGTTCTATAGACCAGGCTGGTCTTGAACTCACAGAGATCTACTTGCTTCTGCCTCTAAGTTCAGGGATTAAAGGCATGCGCTACTACCGCCCAGCTAAAGCTTAAGGGCTGTCAGATATTTGGTAACATATAGAACAGATATAAAAGAAAATATAACATCACTCACCCAAAGTAATCTCTGTTAACCACTCAGTATGTGTCCTAGATTCCTGTTTACTATGTACACATACTGGACTATGGGTGTAGCTCAATGGAAGAGTACCTGTCTAGCATGTTGAAGGCTCTGGATTAATCTCCAGCACTTCAGGGGAACAAAACACACACATATATATGTATATATATGTTTATGTATATATATGTGTGTGTGTATGTATATGTATATAATGTGAAATACTCAATTTATACATATTAAAATATTTGTTTATATTTTTGACTTTCTTGCAGGTTTTTTTAATAGAAATATTCTAAATAGATACATTTCCAAGATCAATTTGTCAATTACCACATCTTTTAAAAAATTTAAATATTTTATATATATGAGTTTGCCTGCATATATGTATGTGTAACACTTGTATGCCTGATGTCCACGGAAGCCAGAAAGGGCATCAGATTTCCTAGAACTTTAGTTACGAGTCACCATATGGGTACTAGGACCTGAATGTTGGTCCTCTATAAGAGCAGCAAGTGCAGTTAACCACTGAACCACCTATCTAGCTGTTAAGATTTACTTTGATTATTTTTACATTATGTGTGTGTGTGCGTGCACATGAGTTCAGGTGCCTTTGGAGGGCAGAGGCAGAGGCATCAGATGCTCCTAGGGTTAGTTACAGATAATTGTGAGCTGCCCTCTGAAGTTAATAGGAAGAGAACCCAGGTCCTCTTCAAGACAGTAAGTGCTCTTAAGTGCTGAGCCATCTATCCATCCTCCATGTCCTCAATCTTTTTTTTTTTTTTTGGTTTTTACGAGACAGGGTTTCTCTGTATTGTTTCGGAGGCTATCAGTCCAGCCCGGCCTCGAACTCACAGAGATCCGCCTGCCTCTGCCTCCCGAGTGCTGGGATTAAAGGCATGCGCCACCACCACCCAGCCATGTCCTCAATCTTAATAAACAATAACCACAAAAAATTCACTGACTTTGGATTGAGTTAAATTAGTTAGGTGAGGGGGTTTTGTATGAGTAGTCAATTCTATGTTGAATGGTGAGAATAGGAACAAGAGTAGTTTAGAAAACTAAGAGCAACCACTTTGCAATTCTCCCTTTGGGTATTTGAGAAGAGGGAGGGGCGAGTGGAGGAGGAGGTAGGAGACAGAAGCTAGCTAAATAAAATTTACTAACCTCTAGACATTTTGTTAATCTTCACAACAACTTTATCTATGAGGTTATTATTATCCTCATTTTATAAAAGATAAAGTGGTAGACACGGAAGTTAAGTAAATCCTCCCCAAATTTCTATAAGTAGTATCTGGGAATGACTAAATTCAGTGTCTGCTTCTGGAGCCCATGTTTCCGACTATAGCAACATTTAATCTCTTATGATTAGTCTATTTGTAGAGAGATGTATGAAAATGTTTTATAATTAGTCTATTTGTAGAGAAATGCATAAAATGTTTTGGCACTTAATGGAAGCATCAGGTTTTCTTCCTTTAATAGCACAGCCATCAATCATTGAGTTCCAGTTTCAGGGACAGCGTTGCCCATTTGTCTAGATGTCCATTTTGATCACACCGGCTTATCAAAGAGCATCATATCTTTCAAATAGGGACAAGAGTGGTTTAGAAAACCAAGAGCAACCATTTTGCAACTCTCCATTTGGGGTCTTTGAGATTCTGACACTCTACTCAAATGCTCCAGAAGATTCTAGAAATAGAGCTGTGCTTCTTTTTGGGTTTTCATGGAGGAGGTTTCAGTTTTCTCACAACTGGACATGTATCTTCATGGCTCTATCTTCCCTGGATCTCCTGTTTTTATGGGGTTAGAGAGGGACAGGGCAGACCTATCTGATGCAACAGTAAATGAGGAAGAGCCTTTCCTTTGCAGAAGCATTCCTCAGGGCTCCCACTTTCTTTGATATCTCAATAATAATAATAATAATAATAATAATAATAATAATAATAATAATTTAGTAATAAGTGTCATTTAACATAAACGAAGAAAAGGGAAGGGTCACCTATATCATCTACAATTGAGGCTTAGTTAGAACAGGTAAGCAAGATGTCTGACTCTTCTCTAACATACAGTAATATGGATGCCATGGATCAAAAAAAATAGGATTTAAACATTCTTGAATCACTCTACTGCAGTTCCTTAAGTAGATACCAAACTGTGAGGGTGATACATTCTCATTACTAAAGACAGAACCAAATAACCCTTTAGTATCTCAGCGAATTGGGAAACTGAGCCCTATAGATATTCAGCGATTTCCACAAGCTCCCACAAAGCTTTTGGAAGGATTTCTAATCCTAAGTATCTATTTGTCACTGTAAACTCAGAAATATTTATTATTGCACAAACCTTTATCAAGCACATACTATATTTCAGAAAGTGTGTTTAGCAAAATAGATATGGTCCCTTCTGCCTCCATGGGTTTCTACTACATTTTTTGGTACATGCACCTGGAGTGAATCACTGTGGAAAACTAGTTTCTTGCAGAAGATGCACATCAAAGATTAGAAATCAGGTAGAAAGGGCAATCTTCAGGCATAATGGCCCAGCATTTAGGAAGCAGAGGCAGGATTTCTGTGAGTTTGAGTACAGCTTGGTCTACATTCCAAGTTCCAGGCCTGCTAGGGCTACAACACAATGAGACTCTGTTTCAAAAAGACACAGAGGAGGCTGGGGGTGGGGGAGGAAGAGAGAGGAGGGGGGGAGAGGGAGGAAGGGAAAGGAGAAGTAGGAAGGGGAAGAAGAGAAGGAGGTAGAGAGGAAGGGAGAGGAGGAGGAGAAAAGGACTTTTATATCTCTTAAGGTTATTTTTTTCAGATAATTTATTTTTCCTTTTTCGTTTACTATTCTCTCAGAATGCTGTTCCATCAGTTAGGTCTGCCCATACTTTCACATGTGTCCTTCCCATGTCAGTGACTTCTCAGTATTAGTTATAAGACTTATTCTTTTTGTAAAGTTTGTTTTATGTTTCTACATTTAAACTCTTGCATTGTGTATTCATCCATATGTATATATTTCAGGTTTATAACGTGAAGTTTTGACACATGTATATCACTTCCTGTAATTACTGTGTGTGTGAACTTTCAGAAAAATCACAAGTGTGAAATAGAATGCCAAACTGTGCATTAGAGCTCCCAAACTTCATCATTTTGTGACAGATGGTTTGTCCCCTTTGGCAAAAATCCTCCTGTTTCCCTCAACCCCTACCCCCTGGAAACCATTGCTCTACTCTGTTTTTTTGAATCCAATTTAGTTATCAGATTCCACTTCTAAATGGAGTAATACATTATTTTTATTTCTGAGTCTGGATCATTTCACTTAGCATGATACCTTCAATATTCATCCATTTTATTGCAATGATACAATGTTTTCATATTATTCTTGAGTAATATCCCATTACATATGTATACCATTTTCTTTACCCGTGAACCCATCAATAGATATTTAGATTGTTTCCATATACTAGCTCTTCTGTATCTTTCTGCATTGAACAACATAACAGGGCAAATATTTCTTTGAGATACCAATTTCCTTTCCTATATGTATGTTCCCAGTGTTACAATTGCTGAATCATATGGTTGTTCTGTTTTAAAATTTTTTAGTTACCTTCATGCTGTTTTCTACAATGGCAATATCAATTTATATTCCATATATATATGTATAATCTTTGTTAGGCTTTTAAAAAATCAATGGCCACCCTCACAGGTATTTGGCAATATCTTATTTGGTCATTCTTTGCATGCTAGGCAAGGGTGCTACCACTGAGCTGTACTACCAGCCTTCACTGTGAATTTCATTCTTCTAGTGATGTGTGATGTTGAACATATTCTCCTATATCTGCCAGCCATTTATATGTCTTTGTAAAAAATATTTATCCAGGTGCATGCTATTTGTGTACATAGCTGTGCTTATATATAAGTCTATTCTTAATTTAAGCATTCAAACCCTGACCATCATCTCTAGATCTCTGGTTCTGAATGCAGTCTTCACCACAAACATCAACTGATTGCTTCGTTGTCTCATTCCTTATTTTGCAGCTGTGCTAATGGTTTTCTCCCTGATATCTGTCACCTATGGCGCTACCCTCTGCAATATGTTGGCAATCCAGATCAAGTACGATGACTACAAAATTCGACTTGGGCCACTGGAAGTACTTTGTATCACCATCTGGAGGACATTGGAGATCACTTCCCGCCTTGTGATTCTGGTGCTCTTCTCAGCCACCTTGAAATTGAAGGCTGTGCCCTTCCTAGTGCTCAACTTCTTGATCATCCTCTTTGAACCCTGGGTTAAGTTCTGGAGGAGTGGTGCCCAAATGCCAAACAATATTGAGAAAAATTTCAGCCGGGTTGGCACTCTGGTGGTACTGATTTCTGTCACCATCCTCTACGCTGGCATCAACTTCTCCTGCTGGTCAGCCATGCAGTTGAAGTTGGCAGACAGAGACCTTGTTGACAAAGGTCAGAACTGGGGACACATGGGACTGCACTATAGTGTGAGATTGGTAGAAAATGTGGTCATGGTCTTGGTATTTAAGTTCCTCGGCGTCAAAGTGTTACTGAACTACTGCCATTCCTTGATTGCTGTGCAGCTTATCATTGCTTATCTGATCTCCATTGGATTCATGCTCCTTTTCTTCCAGTACTTGCACCCATTGCGCTCACTCTTCACCCATAATGTAGTAGACTACCTCCATTGTATCTGCTGCCGCAGACACCATCGGGAAAGGGCTGAGAATGCCGAGCCATCACATGAGGCTGAAATGAGACAAAGTATTGTCTGATTTGTTTTCTCCTGAACGGTATAGGGCATGTTTGGGGTTGACATGAGCAACTGTGAAGTTAAAGGAGAGGGGGAGACTCCTGTGTGTGTGTACTCGCTGGATCATTTTCTTGACTCTTCTAGTAAGCCTATCAAAAGAAAGAGTGACCTCCAAATAGGTTTTACTTCTTTATGATTGACTGCTATGTCGGGGTACCAGCGCTAGTCACTGTTTATTTAGTTTATCCTCCTCCTAGTCAAGTCAGTTGGAATAATTTCTGGGTACCTCATTCAGGCTCTGAATTTCCAACTTTGTTCATTTGTTTGAGTTATTGTTGAGTTTCCCTGGGCTGATCTGAACTCTGCCAGAACACATCTGGACTGATCAGAGGATGTGACAGCTTACTAGCAATGAGCATCTCCCAGAAAATTGTCTGACTCTTGTGATACTTTTACCTGTGAGAGTGGCTAGGATATTTTTATTCAGTGAGAAATTGGGGCTAAGAAGAAGGCCTCATTATTAAAGAAAGCTAATCTCCAGATGAGTAGCACTCCACTAGGATTTTACTAATGGACATTTAGCAAAAATTTCCCTTTTTAGAAGCCTTTATGGACACCCTTTTGTAGAAACATGTGCAGAATAGGATTCCTTCAGGGAATAAATCAGGATGGCGTATTTTTTTCAAGGCATGTATCTCAGGCTGGCTCAAAGTTACTATGTAACTAAGAACTATGTAGCTTGATCTCCCAACCTTTCTGCCTTTACCTTCTGAGTATTGGAACTATAGATGAGTGCCACTGCATCTGGTTTATATGCTGCTGGGGACTGAACCCAGGCCTAGGAAAGCACCATTTATGCAGTGCTGAGCGTTTGACCCTGGGTCAGATAAGCACGTCACCAACTGAGACATCTCTGGCCCCAGGAATGACTCTTAAGGAACTCTGTAGGTCTCCAACTCCATTGAGGGAAATGTTTGACTGAAATTTCTCACCCAGTGCCCCATTATTAGGGATTCCTCCAATACAGCTTTTCTGTCTCTTTGCATTTTGTTACTTGATGTAAACATTAGAGAAGCTAAACTGTAACTGGAAGTGTTTTCTGAAATGTGAAAGAAATGAAGATTTCTTTGTGTCTGCAACTGTCCTGAGTATTTTATTGATTTTTATTTAGGGGGGATATAGTAATAATGGGTAAGACAGCATCTTCATGCTGTTTTGTATTAGGCTGGGCAAAGTAAAAGTAGAAGAGAGAAACTGATCACATGAGATTATCAACATTCTTACTCCATGCAGGATTTTACTTGCTAATGAGGAATGCAGAGTGCTTTTTTTTTCAATTGTCTTGTCATTAACAAACCCCAATGGCCAAATCTCATGTATTACCATGCTCATATCTCATACCAGTTGGATATTGTGGTGGGCTTGTCAGCTGGATGTATAGAAGGTAACCAAACGATTGATGTTCTGGTAGAACTGCCTACTAGAAAGTCAGTTATCCCAGCATCATCTAACAAATTATTGTCCCTTACAGACCAGGAAAGTGAGATGAACTCTTAAAAGTACATACTAGCTGAGGAGCCATTGGCAACTGGTGGCTGCTTGGAGGAGATCAGTTTTCTTCATGGATGCAGCCCTTGAGAGGCTTCTAATGTTCCAGGAGATGCTCCTACACCCATTCATATACTGGAAACACTAAGTGAACTCAGTGGGCCCTAAGGAAAAAAGAAAAGGTACACAGATTTGAAACGGAATAGTGGTGAGTGAGGGTAGGGGAAGAATTGGAATGGAGGGCAAATGAGGGAAGGTTTGGGGACACCAGACCTTGAGCAGAGACCCACTTCCCCATCGGCCTGGGAATAGGCAGCTGTAAGACAATGTTTACTAAAAACAATACAATGCCCGGGGCAATAAGTTCCTGAAAAGGGCTGGCCCATGGGAACCGCCCTGACCTCGACCTTTCCCAAAGACTATCCATCCACCCCCACCTCTGGTGTCAGGGTATATAATATATAATAACCAGCCAGAATAGGAATAAAGGAGAGCCTTCTTGAGGAGCCTTCGAGTCTATGTGTTGTCAATCCCCGACACCCTCTGCACATTCTCGGACACAGGCTGCGCAGCGGACGCGGCAGGAAGGGTTAGATTGATGATTTACTTCTAAAATCATTAAAGGTACCATGTTTCAAGAACTTTTAAGCATTCTTATGTGAGGCCTTCTACCACGGTCCAGTTTTACTTTTACCAAACATTTGTTTTTACTCCATCTTCCCTGCTTACTCTTATATTGGGGTAGCTCCCTCTTCTAAGTAGTGAGATGTTAACCAGAATTATCCTATTATTTACCAACTTCAACTGCCTTGGGGAACTAAAAAGATTGGCTGTTTAATTTAGGAGAATGTAGTAACTCCAGCACAGCAGATGTCTCTTTAAGCCTCAACTCCTTCATAGCATTTTATCATGACAAAATCTCGGGTTTTCATATGAGACTGACATGGAATGCTGACAGTTGCTTAGGAGAATGTGAGGGACAATACTAAACTCCAAAGGAACACTGCCTCTTCAGATCCCAAGCAAGAATTTCTGCCTAGTGTTTACTGTGCCCTCGGTTAAAAGCAGGAACAATATTTGGAACAATTTGGTGCATAAAAGCGTGTGAATCAGCTTCTTAAGGGGAGAAACTATGGGAACAGAGAGACACAGGATAGAAACGAGTACCTCAATGCCAACTCAGGTAAACATTTCCCTCATGTGTCCTAACAGTCACGGTGACTTAATAACCTAGGAATGAAGAGAGTTCAGGGACAGGTGTGGAGTAATTTCTAACCTGAAAAACCTGCTGCCCTCACCCGAAGAAGGGAGAAGAGTTGTGATTGATATATTGTGCAAATAAACCCTTAGATGCTCCTCTGTGGTAGTCTTTCTGTTACATAGCCATCTTCCAGACACACACAAAGAAAGTGTGGAATATGAAAGGGTGGGCAGGGGAAATACCCACTTCTGTTTGCAAACACATCTGTAAGTACTCTCTTTTCACTGTATGAACTTCTTTCAGTGCTGGGGCTTACACTCAATGCCTTGCATGTGTTAGGTAGGCATGTGCTACACCACCAATTCCCTTTTAACTTTTTTTCCTGAAATAGGGTCTTGGTAAGTTTCCCAGGCTGGTCTTGAACTCACTGTGTAGCCTAGGTAGACCTTGAATGTGCATTCCTCCTGTCTCAGCCTTCCTAGTAGCTACAGTTAACCGACCTGCACCACCAGGCCCGAATATATCCTCTGAAATCTTAAAGCAACACAGGGTATAGTATATGAACAAGTCTTGCTGAGTGAAAGAGGAGATCCAGATTAGTCTAGCGAAGGGTTTCTAGGAAAGAAACACTAAACAATGAGGTTTGGATAAAAGAACTACTAAAGCAAGAGTTTCTTCCTAGTAGTCAACATGTGCTCAACAATTTTTCTCATACTACTGATAATTATGATGGACAAGTCAGCATACAGAAAGGTATAGTAAATAAATTATAGTTGTCATTTTATTTGTTCCACAAATATTTTAAAGGTTATGGACACACAACTGTGAGATACTGTGAAAAATTGAAATAATAGCTTCTATTTATGAACACAGTATGTCTGGTATAGTACCAAGTGCTTTAATTAGAGATAGGGTCTCACTTTGAGCCCCTGAAGAGCCTGGAATTCACTATGTAGACCAAGCTGGCCTTGAACTCACAGAGATCCACCTGCCTCTGCCTCCCTTACTAGGCTACTTGGGTTAAAGATGTCTACCATGACACCAGGCCCATATATTATTTGTATTTATAACTTCAGTCCTTACAACTATCTCATTATGGTAGGGTATTTGCTATCATACCAAGCCTACTTTACGAGTAGAATTTAAGGCATAGCAAGACTAAATGATACACTCAAGTTTGAAGCCAGTGTTGAAACCAGGGTTCAATCAAGACCCAATCCTCTATGTCCTAAGTGTTTGTGAAATTATCGTAGCCGCTGCAGGATTCCTTTTCTAAGACGTAGTTAGGTTCATGCCAAACATTCTTTTCTCCAAACATGTCTGATCAGAAGACGACACTCAATTCCATCTACAAGGAGAAGTCCTAAAGAACCTGAGATGAAAACTGAGTGTGTGTTCGCAGGCACCCGCAGTGTAGTACAAAGGTGTAAGAGGATGGCTGGTAAGTCCCTTTCTAGTTTCCAAGCTTTGTCTCATTTATGGGTTTTATATGTTTGTTTTGATTTTTTCTTCAGATGGGTTCTTGCTCTGTATCCTAAATTGGCCTCGACCTCCTGATCATCCTGCCACAGTATCACAAGTTTAGGAGCAGGGAGCATGCTGGGAATCCATTTATGTATTATGTATGTGTATGCACGTGTGCCACAGTGCACCTGTGGAGGTCAGGGGGCAACTTTGGGGACTCAATTCTTTCCTTTCACCATGGGTTCCAGATATAAAACTTGAGTCATCAGGCTTGTGCAACAAATGCTTTTATCTATTGAGCTATTTCCCTGGCCCAATACTGTAATGCTTCATACTGTTGTCTCAATTTTTCTGTGAACCTAAAAGTATAAAGAACCTCAAAAATAAAGTCCTTTAAAAATCCTGGATCACAATATTGAGGGCAATAGTAATCTGTGATAGCATGACAAGCACAACAGTCTTGGCTCTAAAATGATCACTTTCAATGTGTTTTTAGAAAACTAATTCTATATATTAAACTATGTGCTCAATAATCTTAAAAGGTGCCATGCTTGGGTCTTAGCACATTAACCAGCGTGGATTCTAACTTAACATCATTATTTGAGTTGGCTTTGCCATCCTGTTGGGTTTTTTCCCCCAGTAATTTAAAGAAAACTTTGCATATATTGTTCTTATGAAAGCTTTCCTTCTTTCTCATCCTCCTTTGTTCCTCTCTCCCCACACCCACGTTTTGCATTCTGAGAATCATACTTGAGCAGTGGTTCCATTTTGTAAACAATGGCAAGAATGTGGATGGAATGAGTTGTTACAAACTCTTTTCATCAATTCTTATTTTGCAAAATTGGGGTGATTATTGGAGAATACCCCTTTTATTAACTAGTTTGGAGTATTTGGATTTTATAATACCTCACATGATATTTAAAATTAGAAAAGCATACTACTTAAAAAGTGAAAAATGTATGAAAATCAACTTATTCACAGCCTGCTTTTACAATAGCTTTAATGTTCACATGAAGAGAGGCATATGCTTCATAGAATGAGCTGGAAATAGAAGGTAAACTATGATAGGCAGCTTTGAAGGAAAAGGGCTGTCATCTGCTGAGTCTTTCCTGAATATCAAGGTCCTTGTTGGATTGTTTGTAGACTTCCATTGTATTATCACAGTACTCTTATGAGGTAGCTGTTCTCTATCTATGACTTGTCCGAGGTCCACAGTCTCTGTTTCAGTCTTTTTGACCCCAAGATTCAATTTTCTCCTGTTCTACCACACTGTCTCTCATAGATGGCAATTGTCATGATCTGGACTTCATAGCACTGAAGGTAGTGAAGGTAGTGAGTATTTTATACTCATTTTTGGATCATATACCACATAGAAAAGAACAGACAACAGGTCTCTTTAATAATTACATGCAGGGGCCCTGATCTGGATTGAATTTACTGCAGCCATGCTGGTTTTAGTTGCCATCTTACTCACAAGATGACTCTGGTGTGAATTGAAATCCTGATACAATAAAAAAAATCAATTAAGACAGAGCATGTTGGAGTCAGGCGGTGGTGGCACATGCCTTTAATTCCAGCACTTGGGAGGCAAAGGCAGGCAGATCTCTGGGAGTTCAAGACTACCCTGGTCTACAAGAGCTAGTTCCAGGACAGCCTCCAAAGCCACAGAGAAACACTGTCTCTGAAAACAAAAAAAAATATAGAGTATGTCCTGCCCTCCAATGAACTGTTTCTTAATGGATGCTTGGCACGCTTGCAGTTTCTTTTTTTTCTCAATATATGTTTTTATTTAAATTAGAAACGTGAATGTTTCACATGTCAATCCCAGCTCCCTCTTCCACCCCTCCTCCCTTGTGCCTCCACCAGCTCTCCACCCCCCCACCCAATCCCCACATCATTTCCCAGGGAGGGTGAGGCCCACCTTGC